TAAAAAAAAGAATTGGTAGCTTCAAGTCAAAGCTAATTCAAATCAAATATTGCCTGTTATCCTCACCAGCCATGTGCTCCCTGGCCACTCTTCTGTGTTTTTCTCTAGGAGGCTGCTGTGTGCTAAGAAACTTGAAGCTTGTCGCTTTGCTGTCTAATTGAGCTCCTCCCTTTCCTGTTTTTCTGTAGCCATTAGAGGGTTTTCGCGTCAGCACAGGATCCGGAGTTTTGAAGAAGCCCGAGGTCTGGACCTAATTAATGAGCGGATGCCACCCCGAAAAGATAGCCAAGGGAAGTTGGCAACTCCCGTACAATCTAATACTTCTCACAGGAACGAGAAGGGAAGAAAAGCCAGCCATGACTCAGAGCCCAGCGGTGGCACAGGTGGACCCAAAACTTAAGAGCAAATTGTATTTATTTATTTATTATTGGAAAACAAAACAAAGCAACTTAAACCTGGAGGTGCATTCATAACATACACTCTGCATTTATTCTGGAAGAAAGGTGATCATTTTATAAATTCTTCTAATTTATGTCTAACATAAATATAAGCAGCGTATCTGTTTTGTTTTCCCTTTTCTTCTTAATTTTTAGGAACTGATCTGCTTGACTGATACATATGTGAGGTTTTGTGCTATAAGAGGCACCTTCTCCTAATAAAAGGGCCTTGGAAACCTCCACCCTGGGTTTCTGACTTGAACCAGCCAGACTTTCTCTTGTTTTTAGAATGTAATGTCTTTCATTGCAGACTAATAACTTTTCAAACACAGAAAGGTTTTTTCCTTTCTACATGGTACCATTGAAGAAGATCTCTTAGATTTCAGTGGCTTAAACTTCTCTTCTTATGGAAAACTTGATTATAGTAGAATTTGTAAGTGAATAACCGAAACCCAGTGATTTTAAGAGCCAAAGGGAATGTTTTCCATAACCCACTTTCTTCTGGACTCTCAGTTCCTTTTACTATGTTCTGGTAAGGCAGAATAAAAGGTAATGAGGGATTTCTTAGAATTACTTAAAATTTGTTCATCTAGCTCTGGGCATGGCTGGTTTAAACTTCCCTTAAAACTTTGGAGGTTTCTTAAATGTTGCCAGATTCTTTGGCTTTCATTTTTGGACCCAGGTGATTTACTCTGTCTACAAAGGAAGCTACACGTCTAAATATTTTACAAATGCCCTCTGTACAACCTTCAGTATAAGCACTTATGCCCTGCTGTGTATTGCATCAGCTATTATAGCATCTATTCTCCCATTGTCCTTTTTTCTGTGTCAGCATTTTTTTAATCAACTGGGATAATGAAAACAGGCTAGGGTAGAATGATCCCTTATGAATCAGAGGTCTTGCTAAAGGGCATTGGACGAGTGAGGAATTTCATATATTCTACATCAATTACAGGGTGTTTATCTTTCAACACTCATCAGGTTGAACTGTCTGTCAGCATATTGTGGAATACGAAGACAAGTGTTCAGATATAATGTTTGAATAATCATCCCTTGATTTTTCAAGTCACAACCAACTGGGAAGAAAACCTCGGGGGTTCTTGGGCTCCCATTTTTGGTTTTACCTGGTGACAGGTGCTATGTCATAATACTCATTGGCCAGCTTTGCAGTAAGTGTGCATATCTGGGCAACACTACACCAAAGTGCATATTTATGGAATTCCTTCATGTCATTTGGGCTGTAGGAGTCCAGCACAAGAGCACGTATCTCAGACAGTAAGACCTTATGTTGGGAACTTCAAGGACAACAGAAACTTTATCCAAAAAATTATTTCATTAGAAATATCTCTGTTTTCTATATCTTTTGTTAACAGTTTCCAGTCTGTTTATGACAAAGATCAGAGCATTGAAGGGATTGTAATTTGATGACGTGAATTAGTCTGCTTAAACAGATAGGAAGGATCCCCAGCTGGTGTGGCTCAGTTGGTTAGAGCATCATCCTGTACACTGAAAGGTCACAAGTTGTTTCCTGTCATGACACATGTAGGTTTCAGGTTCTGTCCGTGGGGGGCGGGGCGGGGAGTGAGGGGGGGGGACCAATAGATGTTTCTCTTTCTCCCTCTTCCTCTCTCTCTAAAATCAGTAAAAAAGCATGTTCTCCGGTGAGGATTAAAACCATATTAAAAAAAGGTAAGAAGGATATTGAGGACAGAGATGAAAGATCTCGTGCTAGATTGCAGTAAAAACTGTGCAAGAAGGGAGAAAAAAATCTTTACTGATGGCCATTTCTTTACAATGGAATTCGTCACCTGGGTATCCTCAGCCTGCTTCTCTCCGTCCCAGGATAGAAAAGACCGCTGTTCTGGGAGTCTCACCTAAAGTGGAAGTCAGTCCACGTGACACGTTTGATAGATGGGGGTCCCTATCCCTTTCTCCTCTTCACTGAGGCGGTGGTTTTACATACACAACCCACAGGTAGAAACCACTCTTATGGGCTTCAGGCACAGGCAAGTAGTGGAATAGTTATACATCCATATAAGCAAGAAATAATATTGTGCTAGTAAAAAGGATGCTTATTTAGGACTGTCTTTATTATCCTCTCAAAAAGAAGCAGTGCGGTCAAGCAAGTGTCCTTGACAGGCATGGCCAAAGGATGTACCTCACAGGTGCCCTTTGAGCTGTTGAAGGATCCCCCACAGCAGAGAGGTGAGAAGTCGTCATTCAAGAAAATTGGAGTTTAAAATGCAGCAGCAACGGGTCTTGAAGGACGTTAGGTTTGAAAATCCTGTTGAATTCTAAAGGAAAAGGTATTTCTGATATTCTGTAGAAAGCTGGGGTGTGTGTTTCAAGAGTTTAAAAAGCTGTGTGTGAAGTGTATCTGTAAGGTACAGATAGCTTCTTAAAGTGACACTGTCACTCGGTGTACTTACATAGGCTGGCCCCTCTGACTGAAGACAGGTTAGAGGCATGAACCTTAAGAATATAAACTCTGGGTGGGGGTGAGGGGGGTCAATTGGTTAGAGCATCGTCCCAATAGGCCAGGGTTGTGGATTCGATCCCCAGAAAACTGTATAGCCCGGCCAGTGTGGCTCTTTGGATTGAGCCTTGTCCCATGCACCAAGAGGTCACCAGTTCCATTCCTGGTCAGGGCACATACAAGAATCAACCAATGAATGCATAAATGGGTGGAACAACAATTTGATGTTTCTGTCTTTCTCAAATCAATAAATAATTTTTTAAAAAAGGAATAAATTGTAATCACAGTACTTGTTCTTCGTTCCAGATTTCATTGGAGGGTATAACATATTTTTAAACATTTTAATCTAAACAGCAACTCCCAAGATGGCTGATTGGCTGCCCTGAATTTGCCTTAGGACCACTATCTCCATCATTTCAACGAACGTTCTAACTGCAGTCAGAGGTCTGAGGATTGCTGTTTTCAAAGCCTCTTTACTCAGTCTCCCTGCTGCATGCTCTAAAGATCCTAAAAATACTTCATTCTTGTTCTCCTTCACTTTAAGATCCACAGTGACCTTTTTTTCTTCAACTTCTCTTATTGGGGGGCGGGGGGGGGGAAATGAGGGCTTCTTTATAAACATTTGTGGAATTCCATTTTAGACATGACACTTCTTAAGGACCAGTTTTCCCAATTTCCTCTACATCCACATCATGTGAAATTTCAAATTGACCAGATGACAATTTTTTAAATAGATATTTAAAAACTCACCCTGGCTGGTGTGGTTCAGTGGTTAGAAAGCCAGCCCAAGCACTGAAGAGTCATGGGTTTGATTCCCGATCAAAGACATGTCACGTACCTGGGTTGCAGGTTCGATCCCCAGCCCTAGCCCAGGCGCATGTGGGAGGCAACCAATCGATGTTTCTCTATCTCCTCTCTCTCTCCCCCTCCCTTCCTTCCACTCTCTAAAAATTAATGGAGAAAATATCCTTGGGTGAGAATGAACAAAAAAAAAACTACTCATCTAACATCAGTTCAAAACACATCCTTTTTAAATCTCTGTGTTCTGAATATTTGGAGCAAAAAAACCCAAACAAACCTATAAGCCGTGTGTGTGTGCGCGCGCGCGCGCGTGTGTGTGTGTGTGTGTGTGTGTGTGTGTGTGTGTGTGTAATAGAATGCTAAAGCAAAAGCAGCCTCAGCTTTCTTTAAAACGGCGAGGTCACACCAGTTATGGGTACAGACACTATTGATTCCATGGCCTTTTGTGACTAGATATTAATCAGTGCAGTAAAAATTGCTCATCACACTCGGGTGGGCTTGATGTGGCTCCTTGCCTAGGACAGACGCATCAGACTCTCAGGAATATCAATATATTTCATCTCCTTTTATCTATATTTACACTGCCTTTTTGTTCCTATAGTTACTTATCCTGATAACTTGGACATAAGTTCAAAATAAGTAAAGAAAAATTCCTCATTATTTTGTCACAGAATGATATTAATGACAAGGGTAGGATTTCTTCAAATTGGATAACTTTGGGGCCTTTCAGCCTGGTGTTGTCCCTTAGATCCTCTTCTGAGTAATTTTAAAACACAAAGTTTGAGCCCTAGCTGGTTTGGCTCAGTGGATAGAGCGTCAGCCTGCGGACTGAAAGGTCCCAGGTTCAATTCCGGTCAAGGGCATGTACCTTGGTTATGGGCACATCCCCAGTAGGAGGTGTGTAGGAGGCAGCTGATGGATGTTTCTCTCTCATTGATGTTTCTAACTCTCTATCCCTCTCTCCTTTCCTCTCTGTAAAAATCAATAAAATATATTCAAAAACAAAAATACAAAGTTTGAGTCAGCTGCTCTCTATAAGAAAAATTGTATTGCCCGGCCAGTGTGGCTGTATGGATTGAGCCTTGTCCCATGCACCAAGAGGTCACCAGTTCCATTCCTGGTCAGTGCACATGCCCTGGTTGCTGGCTCGATCCCCAGTAGGGCGCATGCGGGAGGCAGGGAATTGATGTTTCTGTCTCATCATTGATATTTCTATCTTTCCCTCTCCCTTCCTCTCTCCAAAAATCAATAAAAACACTTTAAAAATATCACAGACCACCCCTAACCGGTTTGGCTCAGTAGATAGAGCGTCGGCCTGCGGACTGAAGGGTCCCAGGTCCCCGGGGGGGGGGGGGGGGGGGGGGTGTGCAGGAGGCAGCTGATCGATGTTTCTCACTCATCATTGTTCCTAACTCTATCCTTCTCCCTTCCTCTCTGTAAAAAAATCAATAAAATATATTTATAAAATAAAATAAAAATATCAGACCATGTCTGTTCGAGGTACAGCGGGGCTTCCTGCTCTGGCATCACGAGAGTCTCCAGCCTCGCAGAGTGACAATGGCTAAGAGTGGTTTCCTCTGCCCTCCTGTTTTATGCCAACATTGTAGACAACAGCCAGAATTTTTTACTGTACCTTATCTATAAATAGAATTCACACGGTCTTGAGAATTAAGTTCATCCTGACCAATCTGGGTGACCAGTCAGTTAAAACGGTTTTTAGAAAGAGCTTGCCCCAGGTTGACTGATTTAGAGTTTTTCCTTGTGTTAATTATCAGATATTTCCCCTTCAGTGTTGGTGCTGAAAATTATTTCCAAACCCATAAAGACTTGTTGAGGACATTCTGGAATCCCCCGTATTATAGTTGTTACAGTAACCGTGGAACCCACTTTTTTCAAAGCTTTATTCAGTGTTCCCTACCCAGGCAGGAAAGATTCAGAGGGAGGACGAATCCCCTAGTTGTGGGAATGAGGCTGCCGTTTCCTACATTATTTGTGGTTAGAACCATGGATACCACCTTGTCTAGCACTTGGTCCGCATCATTTCTGCAATCTGCTGTGAGAGGGAGGAGAGGGCAGCCTAGGGAGCCTCAACACTAGCTGGAGGAGGGTCTGGATTACCCAGAGGACAGGTCCGAAGGCTGTGTTGCATAGTCCCTCTTCAGCACTGCTGTGATCAGGTGCTTGTAGGAAAGCCATAGAAAGAGCAGATGTGTGTAGAGCAGCGGTTCTCAACCTGTGGGTCGCGACCCCTTTGGCAGTCGAACGGCCCTTTCACAGGGGTCGCCTAAGACTATCCTGAATATCAGATATTTACATTACGATTCATAACATTAGCAACATTACAGTTACGAAGTAGCAACGAAAATAATTTTATGGTTGGGTCACACCACGAGGAACTGTATTAAAAGGGCCAGAAGGTTGAGAACCACTGGTGTTGAGGAAGAACGTTGTGTGGTCAAGAAACAAGGTTGTTACTCTTATCTTGAGTCGAGCAGAGACCTGTATGAACAGTAGGGCTTTGTGCCTTCGACAGTGTGAAAGAGGGAGCCTGTATTACTCTGAGACACTACCTGACCTGCCTCTGTCTAGTCAGCCGAAGTGAATGGGGTCAGGGTTTGCTGCCTTCATCTATGCAGTCACAAAGGTGAAGATGATCCTGGAGAGTATATTCCCTCCCAGGAGGCCTTGGCCTCACGCCCCAGCAACCTTGCTAAATAACACCTTTGTCTGAGATAGGGTTATGCACCTTCTCTTCTACATCCTCATGACAAGTCTACATGGCTTAAGATCAAGAAGGGAGGACATGGCCGTCGACCGTCCCTCCAGGCAGCTCTGAAGTGGGGCCATGCACACTGCCTTCCTGTAAGTTCGTGCCCAGACTCCTTTCCCTCCCTTGACTAACTGTTTCCAAATATCTTTTCTTACATATTAAAGTGCAGTGCATGTCATAGGCCTACCATGGATCTTGACTTGGGGCAATAAAGATGCGTTTTTGTCTGTCAGAGAACCTTTTGGAAGATGCCGCCATGAACCCTCACTTTTCCTTTCTCGGTGCACTGTGACCAATAGCTGTGTTTCCTAATAGAAATGTCAGCAGGTATTTTCCAAAAAAAGATCTGGTTTTCCTTCCTAACGAGGTGGTCAGATGTATGCGGTTAACTGGTGGTGTACTTTTTTTTTAAGGCTTTTCTGGATGATAGGTTATTTCCTTGTGTTTAGAGATTACTTGCTTTTCAGTTATGTTAAAGAAAATGGTGGAAATGTTATTTATTGGCAGAAATCATTTATTAACTGTTTTGTGAACAAGAAAATTTGTTAAAACTTTCTTACTGTAAATTGGAAGTCATCTTTAAAAAAAAAAAAAAAAGAAAACACTCTTAAAATTAAATGTTGGCTCCCTGTGTCTCTTTCCTGGTGGGGGCACTTATACTTGGCTCTTACCATTCGGTGCTTCCACAAGAGGAGAAAGCCTGACTTTGACGTCTGGCCTGGACTCTGGTAATGCCAAGCAATCCCGCTCTCGAGGAAAGGAATCCCCTCACAAAGAAAGACGCTTCCTCTGCCGCTTGCACCCGCTCATTTCAGACCAGCTCGGGGGCTGCAGGGGCGTTTCTACTTCTCCCACTCAGCACCCACTCCCTTGCCCAACCTCCTTCCTGGCACTCTGCCCGCTACTAACACATTCAAGTCCCAGCTCTTCGTGTGGCTTCTCCAGGACAGGCTGCTCCTTAAAGACACAGAAGGAAAACGTCCCACAAAACCAAATCCTTGCAAAAGATAGAAGTAATTATGATGGTGGTTTAATAACTCTGCATGTGGTCCTAATAATAGACATGGATGAGTTCTATCTTAGGAGAAGTTGCGGGAGCCAGAGAAGAGTTGAATGTGGAGGTGAGTTGGACTGCTCAGGAAAGGCAGTGTTGGGCCAGCCTCTTGATTCCTCTGACAAGTAGAAATACGCAGATTCACAAGGAAAAGTAATCTCCACTGAGTAACAACAGGGTAGGGATAGAAAAAGCACGCAGGGCCCTTGGAGTAGACAGCGTGTCCAGGAGGGAATTCTATCGGTTATGCAGTGAAGGTAGGAAGTCTGAACCCAGGGCCTGCAGGCCTGAGTGAGGCAAGTTCACTGTAAGTAAGTACAGTGACATCAGGGGCCACAGTACAATTTATAGGCCAGGAAACGAGCCTAGATTTCTAATTTCAAAGAAGCCAAGTATGCATTTTGGGATCTTTCCCAATAAATGGCGTCCTGGCTTAGCTAAACATTCAATGAAATGAAGCCATATTTACCCTTATTTCCAGTGTTATGAGAAAGAATTTTTTTAAGCCTGGAAATAAGGAATTAGCATGCAAGTTCACGGTTACCTCTCCCTGGACATTCAGTCCCACTTCCTTGCCTGCTCTATGTAATTGCATGGCCTTGTTTTTGTATCATGACTTTCGGGTTTTAGGAAAAGTCTTCAATGTTGAGGCAGTGGGCTAGTAACTTAATGGTAAATGAGGCCGTCTTTATAATGTTGCTGCAGTTGAGGAGAAGGTTCATCACAGAACTCAAGGCGGCGGGAAGACAAGGCGATTCTTTGTTTGGAGGCCAGAGCACTACCTCACGATGTCCACTGGCCGACAACGCAGCCCTCTTATCCTCCTTATCTGAGTGTGCCCGCGCTAGGAAAGAAGCTGATGCAGACCTAGTTTCCCAGCTCCTGGTCTGTGTGCCCTTTGTGGCTGAGTCAACTTGGCTGGGCTTCCCTCTGAGGTCATCACTTATTTATCCTTGCCTTTTAAACTCTGCTTTCTGAAGAGCTGTCAGCCGCTTGCTCTTACTTTCATGAGAACTAAAAGAGGCTCATTCCTCCAGCTCAGTTCTCCAAGGCACCCCATCTGCGCCTGGTGCTGTGTGCTCTTCTATAAACGGAGGGGAGAGGGAGCGGCGGGTGATGTCAGGGCAGAGGCTTCCTTGGAGATAGACTAGATACTGGACAAAAGGCCGAGTCCTTTCACAGCCTTGGGGATTCATGCGATTGACACTGAGGAGCCTGACTAGATCCCAGTTCCATCATGGGTGCTATAGAAAGGAGGTCTGTGCAAGGCAGGCCTGGAAGCCTTATTCTCTATTCCCATGGAGATATACTCACTCACCCTGGCTGCCCACACTTGACCTGGAGTGGGAATTTTTTCACTCAAGAGATCCCTTTCCTTACAGGGACGATACCCCAAATCTTGGATTCCAGATGGCCCAGGTCATGCTGTTGCCAGCTTAGGGAGGTCCTCCAAGCCTCACTGTGGGTCTCTCGTGTTCCTCTTCAGTTGTTTCTGTTCCCAGGAAGGTTTGGCTTGGACGAGGGCCATCAGGAGAACTTGGTATTGGCAGGAGCTGGAATCAGGAGGGGACCCAGGAGAAAGGGGTGGAGCCCAGAGGATGAAACATTGTCAGGATTTGTACTGTCGTGGCTGAGTGACTTGGTTTCAATTCCTCACTATGTGGTCTTCCTCTCTAGAGAGGTCCCAACTCCTTGAAAGGAACCGTGCTTTCTTTGCTAATCCATTCTGGTCTGCTTGTTCAGTTCTCCTGGCAGGAAGAGAGCACTTTTCTGAGAGCACAAATAAAAACCCGCTTAAAGCCTAACTGAAGAGTGTGTCGGAGTCCATCCCTGTGGAGGAGAAGGAATAGCAGCACCCCTCCGTTGTCTAATATGGGGGCTGGGGCACAGTGCCGGGTGCCAGCTCAGGGTAGATCTGAGCATGCCACTCGAATGCCAGGCTCCCTGTGCTAGATAAACACACTCCTCAAGAAATGAGAGTTCAGGTTTATGTCTCCTGGGATCCCTTGCTTCCTTTTTCCCACTTGAGAAATAAAACTGAATTCTCTGCTCACCCTACTCACTTACAATAAAACATTACTTCAGTGCTATTTCCATTCACCCTTCCTCTTGGTGACAGAGGTTGGTTTTCACAGTGACCCGCATTCCTGTACAGCTGTACAGCCACCCTCTTCCCCCGCCCCACTTGGGAAGAGCCACATCTATTGGTAGTCTCTTGGCTAATCACCCCTCAGGGTGATGGACATGGACAGACCTCTGTTGACTGGGTGTCTTGGGGGTAATCCTCAGAACAAAAGGATGGGGGTGGGGCATACGGCTGACAGGATCAGATGGCTAGGAAAACAGAGCAGTTACATAACTGTGTTTACTATGGCTCAGGTGGCTCTGAGAAGGCAGAGGTGGCCCCCTGACAAGAGGTAGTGCCAGGGGGTGGGGTGAGGGGGGTCAGGGGGAAGAGTCCGGCCCGGAGCACATCTATTGGTAGTCTCTTGGCTAATCACCCCTCAGGGTGATGGACATGGACAGACCTCTGTTGACTGGGTGTCTTGGGGGTAATCCTCAGAACAAAAGGATGGGGGTGGGGCATACGGCTGACAGGATCAGATGGCTAGGAAAACAGAGCAGTTACATAACTGTGTTTACTATGGCTCAGGTGGCTCTGAGAAGGCAGAGGTGGCCCCCTGACAAGAGGTAGTGCCAGGGGGTGGGGTGAGGGGGGTCAGGGGGAAGAGTCGCCCGGCCCGGAGGGAGGGCCTGTGAGATGATAAGGGAGTCCGGAGATAATGCATTAGGATGAAAGGAATCTGAATCTGCTCTGTTGCTGACAACAGCCGCGTTACCTAGCACAGCCTTGTAGCCCCAGCCTCTCACTAAACCATGCCAGCTGTCTGCGGGCTGGGGCAGCAGCAAGTAGAGCCGAAGCTGGAGGGAGGAGTCAAGAAATCAGACACCTGGTTCTGGGCTGAATCTCTGGACTTTGCTGCTTTTTCCCTTTCATCTCTCACTTTTCAAAGAGGAACGATTCTTGTCTCTAAATACGGGCAGAAAAAGTGCTGGTCATGGTGCCTTATGCTTTCTGTTCCCACTGATCTCTGATCCTCTCTTCTGTGGCTGGTGGGCATCAGGGAGCAGGGTGGGGGGCCTTGCAAAGCTTCTCCTTGGGCTGAGCCCATAGTCTAAGACTCTGGGAAGGAGAGTGACTCCCATGGGCGCCAGAGCAAAGCAGGCTCCGAGCTGAGAGAGGTGTGAGCCCGGCAGAGCCTGGGTGACAGGAGACAGGCAGAGGTCAAACCGGCCCCAGAGAAAAGCTCCGGGCTCCAGCACAGCCTGTGCCGCTTCCTACAACGCTGTGTGCTGGCTCCCTATTCCCATAGAGATGACGCTGGTAGCCTTGTGAGAAGCAGGAAGTGGGGACCTTGGTCAGCTCAGTTGCACCCTCTACATTAAATATTTATCTTGGAGTCCAGGTTAGAGCCCTAGAGAATAAGAGAAGCTCGCTGCTGGTGAGAGGGGGGCATGACCAGGATTCCTGGAACTGGAAGATCTTCGGCGCCACCATCGTTGGAGAGCAAGGAAGAACATGGAAGAGACGTGGCCCCTCTTGGCCGCGAGGACCGTGACAGGTGGGGAGCAAAACTGGCGACAAGGGAAAGGGGCGCAGCTCTTGTCCCCGGGGGAGGGAAGGGACGGTGACCAGGGTGTCTAAGCTTCACAGGAGGGCACATGCACTGCCACCAGCCCTCCTGTCACAGCTGTGTTCTCCGAGTGGGGCTACTGTCCTTCCCCCACCCTCCCAGCTTTCCAGGAGAATCACTGAGTCTTGGGGGGCCTCAGAGGGGATCTCCTTCAGCTCCCTGCTCAGTGCAATACGTGCCTTTACAAAGGTGCCTCCCCCACACCTGCAGACTCGGAGCCCCTGTGATCCTTTAAAAGCTCTTCCTTGGAAACCTTGCATCCACCTCCAAGTGTGCACCTAACGGACCCCCTTGTGCCAGTGCAGCCCCCAAACACTGGGAGCCAGCCAGCAGCCTCTCTCCTCAGCTTCTCCGCAGCCGAAACAGCGCTCCTTCCGCTGTTGGTCTGTGATATTGTTTCCTGCTGGTTCACCACAACCAGGATAGCCCATTAACTGAATTGAGAAAAGATAAACGTAATGGCATCAATGATTGTAGACATTTTAAAAAAATTGTTTCATCTTTTCTCCATTCCCTCCCTTCTCAACTTTTGAGTTGAATGATGCGCTTGGAAAACACTAGTGCAGCGATTTTCATCTCATGCAGCACATCAAAACATATATTTTTTGCCAATCAGGTAAAAAAAATAGGTATAGTTTTGATTGATTTCAAAATAAAAAGAAATAATAGTAATTATCTACCCTTTTTGCTCCAAAGTGATTTTTTAAAAAGTCAGGTGGCCCATACTTATACATAAGGATTTCTGGTACCAAGAATTAACCAATCAGATGCAACCTTATTATGCGTGACCAATAAGATGCAACTCTATTATATGACCTATATATTTATGGTTCACTACAGGGCAGTCACACCAGAGGGCTATTGTCATTTGTTAAATTTGACAATCTAAGGGGAAAGAGGTCAGTGCTCCTGACTAAATAGTCAGGGATTGCATGTTTTAAACATTCTTGCGGCGCACCGGTTGAAAATCGCTGCTCTAGTGCATGGTGGCCGCAGGACACCAATCTTACCCCTAGTAGGAATGCAGTGAATGTTTTCATATTTTCCTAATTTATACTTGATCGCTCTCAAAATAGATCTGACTTAGCCCGATGCCTCTTTGCTATTTGGCTTGGGGCTTGGGGTCCCTGAGCCAAGCCAGGGACTTCCCTGTTAGCTGTGATCATTCAGGGAGTACCTCACTTCCTATCCCGGCCCCGTGCGCGCACGGAGGCCGGGGAGAGGGGAGAAGGGATGGTCAGGGACGTCGGCGGGAGCCAGTGGGTGCGGGCTCCTGGGACCGGTGTCAGAGCCGCGGGAACAGCGGAAAGGCAGCGAGATCAAAACAAATGCGGTGTGTGGGAACACCGAGACCTGGTCACCCCGTCCCGGCCAGAGGGAGCCGCCCTCATCCTCTCCAGGGGCGTGGCTCTGGGGGGCGGGGGGCGC